GTCCTAAGTGGTTGCTAGGTGGTTGCTAGGTGGTTGCTAAGGTGTTGCTAGGCGGTTGCTAGGGTGTCCTAAGTGGTTCCTAGGTGGTTGCTAAGGTGTTGCTAGGCGGTTGCTAAGGTGTCCCAAGTGGTAGCTAGGTGGTTGCTAAGGCGTTGCTAGGCGGTTGCTAGGGTGTCCTTAGTGGTCGCTAGGCCCTTACTAAGGCATTACTAGGCCGTTGCTAGGCGGTTGCTAGGGTAGTTTGGGTGGTTTCTAGGCAGTTGCTAGGGTACCCTGGTTGGTTACTAGGCAAGCCTCACATACATGCTTGATAAAACATTTATACTTAGTAAGCATTTCTAGCAAGTTACAGTACTTGGCTAGTCAATATTAGCATGTAGCTAGTCACTGCTAGCATGTGTAGCATATAGGAAGTTCCGTATGCTAGCATGAGTCAAACGAGCCAATCTCCAAGTCTCTACGATGTTCTGATGCTGAGATATAGCTGTTGATGAATGGTTGCTAGGGTACTCTGTTTTGTTGCTATGGGCGAGGTTACAGAGTGAACTTGAATGTGATTGGTTGTCTTAGTCAAATGAACCAACCCCCTTGTCTCTATGACACTGCTATGCAAAGATATGCATCTTGGCCTATTTTAATGGAAGTCTATGGAATCAATTTGGGGGCGTGGCTTGTGAGCTTTATTATCATATTGAGATGCTCATTGGTTGTCTGAGTCAGATGAGCCATCCCCCAAGTCAATAGGACACTGCTATGCAAAGATATGCATGTAGGCCAGTTATTAACATGAGTCTAGTATGAATTAGCATGTTACTAGCATGATTCTAGTTCAAATTAGCATGTCATTAGCATGTTTCCAGTATGAGTTAGCATGTCATTAGCATGATTAGCATATGAGTAGCATGTTGCTAGCATGATTGGCATGTCATTAGCATGTTAGAGTTATAAGCATTTGATAGCACAGCTAATTACATTATATAGGACAGTTGCTAGGGTGCAGTATGTGGTAGTTAGGGGTGTGGCTAGAAAGTTAAAAGGCCATCAGTGATTGGCTGCTGGCTAGACTGAGTTAAATGAGCTCAGCCATTAGTCTGTATGACAGTCTGATGCAGAGTTATGAGCTCACAAAGTTTGATCCCATGTTAAGTCAATGAGAGTCTTTTGTAATGGAAGTCTACGGGACAGTTGCTAGGGTGCAGTATGTGGTAGTTAGGGGTGTGGCTAGAAAGTTAAAAGCTCATCAGTTATTGGCAGTTTGGTAGTCTGAGTTAAATGAGCTCAGCCATTAGTCTGTATGACAGTCTGATGCAGAGTTATGAGCTTACAAAGTTTGATCCCATGTTAAGTCAATGAAAGTCTTTTGAATGGAAGTCTACGGGACAGTTGCTAGGGTGCCATAAGTGGTTGCTAGGGAGTGGCTAGTAAGTCTAAAGGTCATCAGTGATTGGCTGCTGACTAGACTGAGTTGAATGAGGCCTGACTCTAGTCTGTAGGACAGTCTGATGCAGAGTTATGAGCTCACAAAGGTTGACCCAATGTTAAGTCAATGGCAGTCTTTTACAATGGAAGTCTATGGGACAGTTGCTAGGGTGCCAAAAGTGGTTGCTAGGGAGTGGCTAGTAAGTTTAAAGGTCATCAGTTATTGGCTGCTGGCTAGACTGAGTTAAATGAGCCCAGTTAGAAGTCTGTAGGACAGTCTGATGCAGAGTTATGAGGTCACAAAGTTTGACCCAATGTTAAGTCAATGGGAATTTTGGGAATTTTCCGGGTCGTTTTTCGGAAAACCGAAAGTCGGATCAGATGGAACAGATATAGCAACCCGAGTCAGACCAGTTTGAAGGTTTGACGAAAGTTTGAAGTATGAAGCTTGAAAAGTTTAGGAGGAGATACACTTTAAAATTAGTCTCAGAAGAAAGAAGAAGAAGAAGAAGAACTAGATTCTTAAAGTTTGAGAACAAACTTTGAGGCTGGCTTGTGAAAGCCTGACGGTAATAGTTTATTTAGTTTAAACAGTTTTTAAAAGTATGAAAAGATAGATAGATAGATAGATAGATAGATAGATAGATAGATAGATAGATAGATAGATAGATAGATAGATAGATAGATTAGCATGTTATTACCATGATTTTAACGTGAAATAGCATGTTGTTAGCATGATTCTAGCATGAATTAGCATTTTACTAGCATGATTTTAGCATGAATTAGCATGTTGTTAGCATGATTTTAGCATGAATTAGCATGTTACTAGCATGATTTTAGCAATAATTAGCATGTTGTTAGCATGATTTTAACATGAATTAGCATGTTGTTAGCACGATTCTAGCATGAATTAGCATGTTACTAGCATGAATTAGCATGTTACTAGCATGATTTTAGCATGAATTAGCACAATTCTAGCATGAATTAGCGTGTTGTTAGCATGATTCTAGCATGAATTAGCATGTTGTTAGCATGATTCTAGCATGATTTAGCATGTTACTAGCAAGATTCTAGCATGAATTAGCATGCTACTAGCATGATTCTAGCATAAATTAGCATGTTGTTAGCATGCTTCTAGCATGAATTAGCATGTTACTAGCATGATTCTAGCATGAATTAGCATGTTGTTAGCATGATTCTAACATGAATTAGCATGTTACTAGCATGATTCTAGCATGAATTAGCATGTTGTTAGCATGATTCTAGCATGAATTAGCATTTCACTAGCATGATTCTAGCATGAATTAGCATGTTGTTAGCATGATTCTAGCATGAATTAGCATGTTGTTAGCATGATTCTAGCATGAATTAGCATGTTGTTAGCATGATTCTAGCATTAATTAGCATGTTACTAGCATGATTCTAGCATGAATTAGCATGTTGTTAGCATGATTATAGCATGAATTAGCATGTTACTAGCATGATTCTAGCATGAATTAGCATGTTGTTAGCATGATTCTAGCATGAATTAGCATGTAACTAGCATGATTCTAGCATGAATTAGCATGTTGTTAGCACGATGCTAGCATGAATTAGCATGATACTAGCATGATTCTAGCATGAATTAGCATGTTACTAGCATGAATCTAGCATGAATTAGCATGTTGTTAGCATGATTCTAGCATGGATTAGCATGTTACTAGCATGATTTTAGCATAAATTAGCATGATTCTAGCATGAATTAGCATGTTGTTAGCATGATTCTAGCATGAATTAGCATGTGACTAGCATGATTCTAGCATGAATTAGCATGTAACTAGCATGATTCTAGCATGAATTAGCATGTTGTTAGCATGAGGGATAGATAGATAGATAGATAGATAGATAGATAGATAGATAGATAGATAGATAGATAGATAGATAGATAGATCGATAGATGGATAGATGGATAGATAGATAGATAGATAGATAGATAGATAGATAGATAGGTAGAGGTAGATGGATGGATGGATGGATGGATGGATGGATGGATGGATAGATAGATAGATAGATAGATAGATAGATAGGTAGATAGATAGATAGATAACGTAAGAGCATGAGTCAAACAAGTCAACCCCCGCCTCTCTACGATGTTCTGATGCTGAGATATAGCTGGTGCCATATCGTTGCTAGGTTAGTCTGTTTTGTTGCTATGGAGTTGATTGACAGCTTAGACTGATGATGTATCAAAGCTTCTTGCCAGTATGAACAGTTAAAAACAACCCCCATGTCTCTATCACACTACAGCATGACAATATCAGTCTGAACCTCTTTAATGGCAGTCTATGGGACAGTTGCTATGGTGCAGTATCTGGTTGTTAGGGTGTGGCTAGAAAGTTAAAAGGCCATCAGTAATTGGCTGCTGGCTAGACTGAGTTAAATGAGCTCAGCCATTAGTCTGTAGGACAGTTTGATGCAGAGTTATGAGCTCACAAAGTTTGATCCCATGTAAAGTCAATGAGAGTCTTTTGCAATGGAAGTCTATGGGACGGTTTCTAGGGTCCAAAAGTGGTTGCTAGGGCGTGGCCAGAAAGTTTAAAGGTGATCAGTCATTGGCAGTTTGATAGTCTGAGTTAAATGAGCCCAGTTAGAAGTCTGTGTGACATTCTGATGCGGAGTTATGAGGTCACAAAGTTTGGTCCAATGTTACGTCTATGGGATTTTTCCGACGGTCCCGGGACGTTTTTCGGAAAACCGAAAGTCGGATCAGTCGGAAAGGATATAGCAACTCGAGTCAGAATAGTTCGGAGGTCTGACCCGAGTTTGATGGTCATAGCTTGAAAGACCTAGGACGAGATAGAGTTTAATTTTTAGTCTCAGAAGAAGAAAATATAACTAGATTCTTAAAGTTTGAGAACAAACTTTGAGGCTGGCTTGTGAAGCTTAGACTGAAAGTTTAAAGTAATTCTAAGTTTTAAGTAACTTAAAGTATAAAAGTAGTTTTGAATGTAAAAGTATTTTTAAGTAATTCATATTTTAGGTTGTTAAAGTTTAAAAGTCATTTTAAGTTTTAAGAAAGTTGAATATTAAAGGTAGCTTTAAGTAGCTTAAATATTTAAAGTAGTTAAGTAGTTATGTTTTTATGTAGCTTAACAGGGAAGTGAAACACTCAAATTTACATTATTTTGTACATTGAATTCCACTTTAATGAAAATATATTAAGCAAACTGGAATGATGTATGTGTGTGTTTTGATGTGGGTGTATGCATGCATCAAGTTTATATGTATATATGTAAGTTTTATAAATGTTGTTTTGAACATAGGTTGATATGCGAGTAATGTATAGGTGCATATACAGGTGTTTTATGTGTTGATAGGTACAGTCTGATTTAAATCCTACATGGCGCCTCATACGATCAACTCAATCTCTGAAAATGTATGAAGAACATTAAAACTTGCCATGTGAAAAACAGCGCCTATCTTAGCTTGGTTTGAACACCAAAAGAGGTGAAGGCTTTAGTGGAGAAGAGTAAATGTACCCGCCCCTATGACGTCACCACCGGACCTGGTTGAAACCAAGGCTGAAACAGGTGAGACCATATTTGGCGCGTGACACGTGACTATCTTTGGCGCGTCTGCTAAATAGGTTAATAACCCTCTGATGCTGAGTGAGCTTCTCTTTCATTATGACCCGGGGCGGACTTACCAAAGACAGCACCAGGACATTTCACGTTGACCTAATGGTCAATCTGGAGTGCCACCGTGAATCTGGACCAATCGCCCACCACCAAGCGTGTAAGTGTATATGTCTGTGTGTGCACTTGTGTGACAATATGCCTATCTTTTTATTGAAAAGGGCCACCCCTTCTCAGGTGTGTTTTTCAGCATTGTGGCTGATTTATAGAATGTATACAATTCTCAGTAGGTCTGTGCAATTTATCGAAAATTCGATTTAGTTTTTTTACTTATAATGATTATAAAAAAAACATTAATCCAGATAAACGATTATTGCATCATATACCGCCCCGTTTAAAGCTGTACACATTTGTTGCTCTGCAAAGCTCAGTTCCACGTGAAAATGACTAAAACCATGTGCTGTAATTTTTGCAACACGGGATGTGCATCATGCATTGATGTACGTTCGAATCCTTTATATTTTTAACAGCGCGTAAGAGCACGTGCTGTTGGGTGTGTGCGAGCCTCGGAGCCATCTTAATGTGAGTGCTTTAATGGTCAAATACATGCACATTTGTGCCAGAACGCGGAGTTTAGTGAATATTCATAATAACCCTCGTTTGTGTAATAAATAAGTTGAGTATCTTGTATATTTGAGTATATATGCAGAAGACATGTGAAAGAGAAACCATATCAGAGCCGCACTATTCTTAAAGAGACAGCGCGCTGAAAGAGCACGTGCTGTTGGGTGTGTGCGCGCCGCATGGAGACATGCAGAGCATACACATCTTAATGTGAGTGCTTTAATGGTCAAATACATGCACGTTTGTGCCAGAACGTGAAGTTTAGTTATTATTCATATTAACCCTCGTTTGTGTAATAAACAAACAAGTTGAGTATCATGTATAGCTGAGCATATATGTGTAAGACATGTGAAAGAGAAATCATACCAGAGCCGCACTATTCTCTAAGAGACTTTTTAATTATTGTTAATAAATCAACAAATGGAGAAAATCTCTGCCCGCTGCTCTTGACTGAAGGGATTTTTTTTTTTTAGCAAAAAAGCATTTCTTACAGTGAAGATGCCTAAAGCACAGTTTAAACATAACAAATTTAATAACTCATTTCTAATAACTGATTTTATTTTATCTTTGCTATGATGACAATACGTCATTTTTTACTAGATATTTTTAAGATACTAGTATTCAGCTGAAAGTGACATTCAAATGCTTAATTAGTGTAATTAGGCAAGTCATTGTTTAACAGAAGTTTCTTCTGCAGACAATCAAAAATATATATTGCTTAAAGGGGCTAATAATATTGAGCTATTAAAATAGATTTTAAAATATTTAATCCTGCTTTTATTCTAGCCGAAACCAAACAAATAAGCCTTTTCTCCAGATGAAAAAATATTATAGGAAATACTGTAAAAAAAAAAAAAAAAATCCTCCGTTAAACATAATTTGAAAAATATTTATATATAAAAAAATTCACAGAAGGGCGAATTTTCACTTCAACTGATAATCGTTTTAAGTAAATCGCGATTACCAATATGACCAAAATAATCCCAATTATGTTTTTTTTCCCATATCAGAAACTGTATTTCTCTCTCTCTCTCTCTCATTTTAATTACATTACAGCATCAATTCTTTAAAAGGAACACTATAAAATTGAAAAAGGCACAATAACTGTTCACCGGTAGTTTATCAATATGGGAAGAAACAATAGCTCAGCATATACCCTCGATCAATGTGTGAACAGATGTACAATGGAAATAATTAAAACCTCAGATTTAAAAATTGGCTTAAATTAGCATCAAATAAAATTTAGAGAAGTTAGATTATTATAAGAAAAGTATTACAAAAACTGTTAAGGGTACCTAATATTTGAAATAAAACTACACCCTCTCTGAACTTTACAGATTTCCATGAGACAATTTGTTTTATGATTGGGTGCAGGGAGCCGAGTACTGCTCAGGAACAACAAACACTATAGAATCACTACCCAGGAACACTGATTCCTTTCGCTTCTTTCAATACATGTCCCTCTATGAACTTGGTATGTAAAAAAAAAAAAGTGCGTCACTACCAGCACTGTAACACAGTTTGACATAACGTAATGTTTTACAGCATGTACCTTCACTTTAATAAAGCTTGAAAGAATTCACACTTACTGTTCCCTGTATGCCGTGATGGAGGTGGGTGATGAGAATTTGGCAAATGGATAATGGTGTAGCCATAAATAATTGAAAACATAATTATTATTAAAACCTAAAAGGTTGACTTGACAGTTTGATATAGTTCAAAAAGTTTTATGATAGTTAATGGTGTGAAATGATTAGACTTACTATGTAATGCAGAATTATAATGGTAAATAAACACAATTTACACACATTTAATTTTTTATTAATTACAATTGTATAATTGTGTTAGTTAACAAAACCGAAATACACATACATTGTTTCAAATATTTAATTCAACTAGCCTAATGTAAAATAGAAACCGTAAAGAACAAAGGTAAAACAGAACTGTAAAGAACAAATTTAAATGACTGTAGCCTAATTGAGAAAATTAAGCAAACTGGAAACTTTACTTGAGGGTTGTTCATTAGACTGTCATGAAAACTTTAAAATCATGACACGATATGTATATGAAAGAGTTTATGCATGCTTATGACAACTGTCATTAGCACAGTTATGCCATTTTAAATGCTAAAATTACATAATGTGACATGGCAACACGTTCATAACAACATGACATAAATGCATCGTAACCTATTTTTTGCTTTGTGACACCTAATGACAGTTGTGATAAGCTGGCAAAAAAAAGTTTTATTCATTATACATGTCACGATTAAAAAGGTGAGTTTTATGAACACCCCTTGAACCTTTCCTCACAAACCCTAGAAAAGGCAGTCCATTGAGTCCTGAGTGTCTTCTGGATGGACCTGATTGGGGTCAGCAGATCCTCCACTGTGAACATCTGGAGGGCCCTGATCCGCATCAGCAGATCCTCCACTGGGAACATATGGAGGAACCTGATCCACACTGGCGGATCCTCCACTAGGAACGTCTGGAGGGACCTGATCCACACCAGCAGATCCTCCACTAGGTACGTCAGGAGGGACCTGATCCACACCAGCAGATCCTCCACAAGGTACGTCAGGAGGGACCTGTTCCACACCAGCAGATCCTCCACGAGGTACATCTGGAGGGACCTGTTTCACACTGGCAGGTTCCACGTGGAGGACGCTTCCACAGATGTGCCTGAGTTTTAATTGAAGTGGGAGCTGGTTTGCCAGCTCCTCAATAGTGCCTGCATAGAAATGTACAGGCACTATGTACTCATCCATATGGCTATCCAGGAGGATGAGCTTGTCGTGCATCTCTGACACTCCAACGATCTCAAGAACTGCCTCCTGGATATCCCTATCAATAAGCTGAAAAACAAAAAAAAATTTAGAAAAGGTTAGTAGAAAAGATTCAACTTGCATTTGATAAAAGTAACCGTATTTTCTGTGGATTAAGTTATATTTTTTTAAATCATAAAGGGCGCCTATTTTATCAATTTTTTTCAAGGTTTAAGATAAGTTTTTGTGTCTCGAATGTTTTTGTAAAATGTTGGCTCAAAATACCCATCAGATTATTTATGATACCTTTCTCTATATATGAAATTTGAGCTGTAATGATATTATAGCTGTTTTGTTGCTTGTGCCTTTAATGCAAATGAGCTAGTTCATTAAGTTAAATCCCAAATTGATTTGCACATACAGTATTTTATAGAAACTATTCAAAAGTGCAATACTATATACTAATTGCAAATAAGGGTTTTCAGATTCATCAGATGAACTACATTTTGGTAGAAAAAATATATTTTTTTCGTATACATTTTCCAATAATTTATGTAATGCGAACAACAGAAAAAAAACTTAAGGAAAAGTTTAATTTGTACTCTTCGTGTTATTTTAATCAAACAGCCTTCTGTGATGTTTTATCCACTGTTCATCTGACACTACTATAATCGTTATTAAGGCAACAATGTCATTTCATTTCTAAATTTTTAATGTCTCTTGAAGGTTAACACTTTTAAATGTGTGTGGATTACAGATGTGCAGCATATAATGTTTACCTTAAAAGTTGTGTGATTAGAAGAGTCGAATTTTGCTCTTCCATCTGGTCTTCCGTTTACTTTCAGGTGACTGAGCTCAATGATGTCCCCGACATAGAGCTCGTTAAGTGCTTCTTCCCGCCACAGTGAGACATCGTGTACTACGGAGCCACATTTCATCCGCAGGTCCAGGATCGGTATGTGAGTGCGAGTCATTCTAGGCACTTCAACCTGGAAAATGACAAAAAGGTAAGTACTATAGTGTTTTTATTTATTTATTTTTTTCTTAATCCTGACACAAGAGTTTACTGTCATTAAGTCGGACTGTATGTTTTGGTGATTTGAAATGTCAACATTAGCAGAAATCGCCTGTCTAAAGACATGCGGTACAGCTGAATTGGGTAGAGTAAATTGTCTGTTGTGAATGAGTGTATATGTGTATGAGTGGATGTTTTCCAGAGATGGCTGGCAGCTGGAAGGGCATCTGCTGCGTAAAACAAATGCTGGATAAGTTAGCGGTTCATTCTGCTGTAGCGACCCCGAAAAGAAAATGAATGAATGAATGAATGAATGAATGAATGAATTCACTTACTTTTTCTAACTGCCCCCGTAGACTCAGGTACCCAGTTTCACTGAAGATATCCTCTTCCTCTCCTGTTATAGGTCGTGAAGGAGGACAGAGGGCCTCCCTTGCAGCTCTTTTAGCCTCCTCACTTATGGCTAGCGGAGCCGTCCTAAATTTGATGGTGCCTTTATTTACAAATAAACATCGGCGGCCATATTTGTTTGAGATGGTTACATTTTTTACAATATATGAGTGTCCCTCTTCAAATTCAGGGTCACTGCCGTTTTTTTATGGACAGATAAACTGCATCACCATCCGTAAGGGCACATAAAGATGTGACTTTGTAGGTGTCAACAATTATTTTGTTTTCATGTTTAATAAATGTCACAGCCTTTTGGCTACTGTGCACTTTAACACAGGTGATGTGCAGTGGTGGTGGGCGGCTGTACGGTGTTGCCATCCTAAGAATAAGAAAAAAAGGTTACTCTGTATTAGTTGTAAATATTATGTAGAATAAATTATTATTTCTTTTTAACTCAATTCATCAATTAAACATATCAATTAATCTAAATCTGTTTGTCTTGACTGGAATGTTGTGCTACATCCTCCTTCAAAATATCATATATTGTGTTTTATAGAAGAGAGAAACTCAAAGATTTGTAAGCATATAAGGGGGGAGTAAATTGTTGTTTTTTTTTTTTTTGTGAGGGGGGTATTTATGCTTTTTAAAGATTATTAAATATTTTGCATGGCCAAAGTCTAACAATCTAGGCCCAAATCAAGGCCTTCCTAACATCTCAAGCATAAAGACAATTGGAAAATAATTGGCATACAATGAAGAGTCAAACTCTTTAAAACCAATAATTTACCAAACTTGTCACCAGTAATGGTTAATTTTACCAAATCATGCCCTAGGTGGGTGTGGAATGTCCTGACCTAACATTGTCTCAGTCTGCCCATGCATAGTACTGTATAACTATAATCATATTGGCATATCAGAATTAACAATTGGATAATTATAAATTGACACATTTTTACAGAATACCATCGATGCACTGTTTTATGAAACTCGTCACAATATTAGTCCTGCCTCTGACAATATAGGTTATAATGCTGTAATTGTTAAAACGAGGATAAAATACCTGGAAAAAACACTTCCTATCAGATCAAATCCTGTCAGAAAAACTATTATAGTTTACAGATTTCTATTTATTTCTTTAGATTTTGAGATTCTTGGTATGGGATTTCATCGAGGTCTGCAGTGTAGTATACAATTCATTGAAAATCCAGTAATAAATAATGCATTTATTCTTAGGAGTATTAACCTGTGCAGATACTCAGAGCACCGTTAAATATAAGCCACTGTTATTTTTTTAATATTTTATTATAAATTGGGCATATAGTATTACGCAATGTTTTATTTATATAGAGCATTTTTCTAAAGTTTTTTTTAATTTTTATTTTATTATAACACAAGAAGTTTGTAAAGGGTTCACTGTGAACATCAGCCTGCTTTCAAGATTTAAGATAAGTCTTTTGTGTCTTCAGAATGTGTCTAAAGTTTCAGCTCAAAATACCTATCAAATTATTTATTATACCTTCCTGGATATATATTAAAAGTCACATGAACATTATTTGAAGTAAAAAGTTAAACACAAACACAGCTAAATGAAATATTGAGTATTATTCAATTATACGACTAGTCTGTAACAGTTAGCAGAGTTTTTCACAGCATTTTTATTGAAGAAGTGGTAATTTCTTATTTATTTCAGTCACATTAACTTTTTAAAATTAAAATAAGAATGAAGTAAAAAACTAATTTAGATAAAATTGCCTCAAACACTAAAAACCCCATTCCTGGCGTATAAATGATCATACTATAATTATTAAACTTAACGTTACGCATCCAGCTGTATTCTGACAAGATTTGACTGGACAGAAGTGTTATCTGAGGTATTTAAAAACAAAAAACAAAACCATGTTATTTTATAAAGGCATCTGTAGAATTTATAGTATAATATCATAATTTAATTATACTGTAATCATAATCATATAAAAGCTAAATAAGAATTAAAAAGCTCTCACCTCAGAAGTATGCTGTCTGTTGTACAACTGAAAGAATTGACAGTGATGTGTATCCAGTCAGAAGCGAGACATCCATCACCAAGGCTCATGACGTCAGATGGAAACCTTTATCGAATGATGTTCATGCATTTTTGTTTATTATTTTTATTCATATAATAAATGTTGATTGACAATGTGGCGCATCCAATCAGAAGCGAGACATCCATCACCAAGGTACATGACGTCAGATGGATGTCCATGTGGATTGACAGTGAGGCGCATCCAATCAGAAGCGAGGCATCCATCACCAAGGGACATGACGTCAGATGGAAACCTTTTATCAAATGATATCCATGTCTTTTTTATTTTTTATTTTATTCGTGTAATGTTAATTGTTATTTAAAATTCATTATATGTAGTACATTGAAACATTTCTGAGGTCATAATTCATTAAAATATCACACTGATGTATTCTCTTATTAAATGAGTAATGTTTTACGTTGGTCACTAGAGTGTTAAAAGACGATTGTATGCTTATCAAAACAATTATTACGATTTTGTTTTGAGTTTTATCAGTAACAATACTTATAATTTTAGTTAATATCTTTTATATTTATAATTATGTATTGTACCTTATTTTGTACTAATATTTTTTAGATATAAGCAAGATAAGTTTGCGAAATACCTTGGTATTTCTTTAAAAAAAATAAAAAAAAAAGGTAAACAAATTTTAACGTAAACATAAGAGCTGGCCAATGAGACCGCTGGGATTTTCCATAACCTGTCCTTAATCATCCGGTCCGATGGTCCGCACATTGGGTCTCGCATTAGGAACGATTTCTGAGGTAAATTTTCAATTAAATGTTAAAAAAAATGCGTACGAGTGCTTAAATTGGCTATACTCAGACAGATATATTATGAACTAATTGTTTTTGAGAAACGAATAAATCGTTATTAAGCATTACTATTAAATTAGTCTTGTGAGGGAACTATACCGGATGGTGTGCGACGAATTTTGTCCTCAGTCTAATTTACTCGCATTTTATACCTCCTGTTCGTTATTTTGCCATGTAAACAGTATTAATTCAGTTTATAACGTTTGACCCCTTAACGTTATATGCTTTATAAAGAAATGCAGTCGTTTGTCATTAAATAAACTCTTGACTTTTATCCCAAAAGTATGCATTTTTTTCTGTTAGTCTCCAGATTTGATGAAATATTGATGGAATATCATGTCTTTACTTGATATTTTACCATTTTTACCCATACTGAGGCGATGAACTTAGAGCTTCATGCCCATTTCATTCATACGGGAAACCAGAGGGCGCCATACATAAAGGCCTTTGGCCTAGCGCAGGGGTGCTCAATCCTGTTCCTGGAGATCTACCTTCCTGCAGATTTCAGTTGGTACCCATATCAAACACATCTGCCTGTAATTATCAAGTGGCATGCAGGTCCTAATTAATTAGTTCAGGTGTGTTTGATATGGGTACCAACTGAAATTTGCAGAAAGGTAGATCTCCAAGAACAGGATTGAGAATCCGTGGCCTAGCGGATCGCACGTAGATATTTACACGCACTTCGTCTTTCCTTTGTTTACTAGCGTTGCTAAGCAACGCAAACAGATGACAGTAAAAACTTAACCCGTTATATAAGATGTAGTAAAAGCATTTTCATAGTATTCTCATTTTGTACATTTTATTTCTTATTCTGTGATAAGAATTTAGCCTGATGTAACCTTAGGAAAGCAGCACATAAACCACAAAAGTAGTTAAAGTGCTGCCTAACAGACAGACAAATAATGGAACTTTACATATTTATCTTAATAGACACATATTCATCCATCCCTGTGTATTATTTGGCACATCTCCCTTTTCTCCACGTTTTTCCCTTTTCAATTCAATCATTGTTTTGTTTTGTTTTTGGCATGACAAATGTATTGCCAGATATACAATAAATTCCTGTCTATGTATACTTAATATTCTAATGGTTCGACATTATATATTAACAATAACAATACAATTTATTCCTGGCTCAAAATAAGGCAGAGGTGGTGATCAAGAATTTTTTTCCTACTTGAAACAAACACATTTTGCATCAAGTAAATATAATTTAATTGAAAAGAGACATTAAATGTAATTACAAAACATTATTAGCTAATCTGTTTATTTAAAGTAATCTCACATTCTATGATATATATGAGTAAATATGAAATGGATGCAACAATAATTTAAAGTGACGCAGTGGGTTGCACGATCACCTCACAGCAAGAAGGTCGCTGGTTTGAGCCTCGGCTGGGTCAGTTGGCATTTCTGTGTGGAGTTTGCATGTTCTCCGCGTGTTGCCGTGGGTTTCCTCCAGGTGCTCTGGTTTCCCCCACAGACCAAAGACATGTGGTATAGGTAAAGTCTGTAGTGTGTGTGTGTGTGTGAATGGGTGTGCATGGATATTTCCCAGTGATGAGTTGCAGCTGAAAGGGCATCCCCTGCTTAAAATAAATGCTGGATAAGTCGGCGGTTCTTTCTGCTGTGGCGACCCCTGGTTAATAAAGGGACTAAGCTGAAAAGAAACTAAATGAATAATTTACAGAAGTGTTTTATTAAACTATAAAAAACTGAATTCAACTAAGTCTGAGACAGACCAAGGGTATTTTAAAGCTTACTGTACAATTATTTCAAAGATTTTTTTTTCTGACTACTGATGAAATGAGACCAAAAATAAAATAATAAACCAGCAAAATAATCATGTTCACAGCACAAATGCCATAATGACTTCATCACGTGTAGCTGTGACTGGTTACCTAATTGTTGTCAAGGTGGATGTGGTACAAATTTAACAAGAGAGAATTTTCTATGCAAAATCATGAATAATAATATTGTAACTTTAAACTAATATCAGTGAACTATAATAATGATTTCTTTATTTTCTTTTTATTGCTTGTCTATAAATGTGCCATGTCTATATCTTTGTATACCAGATCATTGCACCCTCTGCTCCAAGTTATCTTTTAACTAAATGTTTTGGCAGTAACTGTCAAGGTTTGTATTTGTTTATTTATTGATCTACTTATTTTTTACTCATCTTTTAGATTGTGTTGTCCTCTACCACTTCTTCCAGCTGAAGAGTGATCACCAGTACCTTTCTTAAGGTAATTAATGTTCATTTTCACCTCATTAGTAGTGATTTACAACTAATTTGTTTAATTTTTCTGTGAAAATTCTGAATCGTCTTAGATATTTCTTTGATTTAATAAATGTTTTTCATGGGATTGTGGCTGCATTGGCCTTCTTTGCAAGTATCATTTTACATGTTACACATTATCTGTTTAAATTTTAATTTATTGTACATGTACTGTAAGTTCTACATAGACATTGCCATCATAATTATCTACCATTTACAGTCCATATAAACATGTAATGCTAAGTAACACCAATGTCTCGAAGACTTAATGTATCAGATTGTGTAAACAAAATTGTCACTTTTATTACAGCAGTTGGACATCTTTATTACTGTCTATGTAAGAACCATTTTTTAACCATCTACTTAATGACTTTTATTTATATTTTTAGTATTAATTTTCCTCCCTCAATTCAATAAGTAATCATTTTGAAATTATTGACATTATATATTATTATTGTTATTATATATTATTATTAGTAGTATTATTTAGTAATTAGCTGTTAACATATTTCACGTTTAGCTGATCATTTTGTAAATCAAATGCAACCGTGTATAAAGAATGTTATTAACTATTTGTGTGTGTGTGTGTGTGTGTGTGTGTGTGTCTTGGTGTGGTTGTGTCCTTTACTGTCCTTTACTGTCCTGTCCTATCTATACCTTTATAATCATTTTTCACTCAAAACTTTGTATTGCTTCAATCTCCACCTCTTGCTCATTCCATTCTTTCTCTTCCGAAAACCAAAAACTTGCTGGCTGCTAAAAACCCAAAACGCTGCTGCACTGCTTGCTGCTTTGCTTGCCTGCGACCCAAATATATTACCACCCAAAACGCAATCCAACATGCAAAATCCCAAATGCTAATGCGTGCTTGCAATTGCATCTCAAAAAGAAAAAGCCAGAACAAATCTCAAACTCTTTGAAACCAAAAACTCTTGACTGTGAAAAACTCTTGATTCTGAAAATTATTTGACAGTAAAAAAGTTGATTGCCTGTGAAAAGCTCAAAGTAAACATCAAACTGAGGTAAGAACTACTACTGATTAAGAAAAGAGAGAAATTAATTTTCAGATTTCACCAACATTGAATATCAACTCTTTTGGAGTCAACAATCATTTTTGATTGATATAACTTCACAATAAGTAATACTTACTGTTATCTTGTTATACATCATATATTTTACATTTCGTTGTGACCTTTTACCTACTAGTACATATCTCTATTTTTAGTACTCATATCCTTTCACATCTGCATTTGCTTAATTGCCAGTTTCGAAACATCACAATGCCAAAAAAAGGAAAGAGGAGTGAATCTCAGAAACAGCGCAGAAAACGAGAAGCTTCATTTGGCACCAGTAGCAGTGCCAGCTCTGTATCAGGTAAGAATGATGCATACGTTATGTCTGTTACAGCATCCCACTGCCAAAACGATGACAGGTACAGTAGTTACTCTAGAAACCGCCAGTGTACTTGCAATTCATTGATGTTCCTAGCAGTCCACAATGAACGGAATGAGCTAAAGAGTTTTGACTTAGACTGGATTTTACAGAGAGGCGATGCAGTTTACACTGTTGTCAAACAATCGCTCCAAACCAAAGGCCAGTTTGTCGATAGTTTTTTAAACTTTGATGAGCTACCAAACTCAATGCAGACAAATGCTCACCAGTATGACATTCTTAAACATCCTCAAAGATCTGGGCTTCTAAAGGATACACCTGCCCTAGATGAGTATGAAAATCTTGAGAATACACTGCAGTGTCTTAAAAATGATGCGACTCATGCATTGCTGCTGTGTGGAGGATTGTGTATCGCTGTATTCAGAGATCGCTCAGGGAGGTTTGGCTACTTTGATTCTCACTGCAGAAAACCAGATGGCATGTATACAGGTGAAAGAACAGGGACAGCCGTGATGTTGACGTTTTTCCATTTAAAAGACATGGTAGAGAGACTACTTCTTTTGTTTCAAGGGTGCTTCCAGTTTAGTGATCAAGAACAATTTGATCTTTTACCAGTGTCATTCATTGAAGTTACAGAAACTGATGTGCATTCAGAAGTCCCAATGAAGTGCCGTGTGCTTGAACGTGAAGGAATACCATGCGTTTCTTTTGAGAAGGCTCCAAATCATCATTCACAATCTACAATTAAGCAGATAAAAACATTCAATAAGACTCAAAATAATTTTCTATCAGTTGCAGCATCCCACTGTCAAAGTGATGTCAGGTACAACAGTAACTCCAGAAACCGGCAGTGTACGTGCAATGCCTTAATGTTCCTAGCAGTCCACAATGAAAGTAATCAGCTACAGAGTGCTGATCTAGATTGTGTCTTACAGAAAGGTGATGCAGTTTATAGTAGTGTCAAACGATCTCTCCAGAACAAAGGCCAGTTTGTACATGATTTTTTAAATTTTGATGAGCTACCGAGCACAATTGAGACAAACTCCCGATGTTACAACATTGTAAAACATCCTCAGAGGTTTGGTTTTCTGAAAGATACACCTGCTCTAGGAGAGTATCAAAATCTTGAGAATACACTGCAGTGTCTTAAAAGTGGTTTAACTGATGCATTGCTGCTCTGTGGAGGCTCATGCATTGCTGTTTTTAGAGATCGCACAGGGAGGTTTGGCTATTTTGATTCTCACAGTAGAACACCAGATGGCAAGTATACTGGTGAAAAATCAGGCACAGCCGTGATGTTGACCTTTCTTCATTTAAAAGCCATGGTAGAGAAACTACTTCAGTTGTTTCAGGGGTGTTTGCAGTTGAGTGATCAAGAACAGTTTGATCTTTTACCTGTGTCGTTCATTGAAATTACTGGAAATTATTTCCACACGGAAGTCTCAGAGGAGTGCCATGAGCCTGAAGATGATGTAGCTAATGAACTGTCCCATTCAACTTATCAAGATAAAATTAATGTTGTAACTACCTTCACTAACAATCAGGGCAGATTAAAACCCAACGTATTAAGTGAGTTTTCTCATGACATCTCGTCAACTTGTCAGTTGGCTTTGTCAGCTTCAAATCAAATACATTCACCGTTGACATTTGAGAAACCAAAAAAACTGAATAAAGCTCAAAGGCGAAAGTTTTATTGCAACAAAAGGCGCAAAATAATGGCTCAGAGACAAGATAATTATACAAAAATACAGAATGCAAGTAAGGATTACGTGTATAAAACAAGTAGTGAATACAGACAAAAACATAAACAAGCCATGAAAAACAGCTATTGGAACAACATGATTTACAGAGAGCAGCACAAAAAAGCTATGAAAAGCAACTATGAAATTAATGAAAATAGAGAGAGAAAAAAAAGTAATGCAATTAGCAAGTACAGGAATGATGAACAATACAGAAATAGGAAAAAAAGTAAAATAATGTTAAATTACATAAATAATGAACAATTTAGAAAGAGACAAAGGAATTATATAATTCAAAAGTACAGGACAAATTATCAATTCAGGGAGAGACAAAAGTATTATATAATTCAAAAATACAGGACTGATGATCAATTCAGGGAAAGACAAAAGCATTCTATAATTCAAAAATACAGGACTGATGATCAATTCAGGGAGAGACAAAAGCATTCTATAATTCAAAAATATAGGACTGATGATCAATTCAGGGAGAGACAAAAGTATTCTATAATTCAAAAATATAGGACTGATGATCAATTCAGGGAGAGACAAAAGTATTCTATAATTCAAAAATACAGGACTGATGATCAATTCAGGGAGAGACAAAAGCACTATATAATTCAAAAATACAGGACTGACGATCAATTCAGGGAGAGACAAAAGCACTATATCATTCAAAAATACAGGACTGACGATCAATTCAGGGAGAGACAAAAGCACTATATAAAGGAAAATTATAGAAACAATGCCAAATATAAGGAACAACACATGCAATATCTTGTTAATAGATATTTAAATTATCCAGATTTTAGGCAAAGGCAAAGGGAACATTATAGAAACAGATGCAAAAATGATCCTCTTTTTTATGAAAAAAGAAAAAAACAATTTAAGCAACGTTATCAATGTGATGCACAGTTTAGGGCTCGCCAGAACAATTATAATTTATTCAAATCTAAAAATTTGAAAAAAAATGAAAAAATGTCTAAACTTAAGGCTCTTCACAAAGTGCACTGCGCACAGGGCATACAATGTAAATACAAAAAAATGTTTCTGATACGCCAGCAAACAGAAATGTTACAAAATATTCAGCCTGACATAGATCCAGTCATGGTAACTGCCTTAAATATGTTCAGAGATGTTATAAAACAGGGTCCAACTTATGTCTGCACATGCTGTGCCAGAGCACTCTTCTTAAATCAAGTACGTAGATGTGATCGAGAGAAGTATCAAAAGAATCCAGAACTGGTTTCACTTTGTTTGACTGCGAACTATGTACACAACAGCTCCAACTGTTCAGATCAATGTAACTTGGAAGACATGACAACAGAGTGGATCTGTCATTGCTGTAATACGACCCTTTTGACAGGTCAAATGCCAGATATTGCTGTAGTCAACAAGCTTCAGTTTTTTCCCATTCCCTCAGAACTTTGTAATTTGAATATCCTAGAAAGACATGTTATTGCAAAATACATTCCATTTGCTAAAATTTTAACTCTTCCTAAAGGTCAACAGAGAGCTATTAAAGGAGCTGTAATTTCTGTTCCATCTGAAGTAGAAACAACAGTGAATAGTTTACCTAGACCAAGAAATGAATCACAGCTGCTAACAGTGAAACTGAAAAGACGTCTATGCTACCAGGGTCACTATCAGTTTCAGACTTTAAACATGCATAAAGTTTTGTCTGCTTTAAAAAAACTGAAAGAAGTCCATTCAGAATATAAAAATATATGCATTAATGCAGCACTTTTTGAAGAAGAAATGTTTAGTGAGCATGAAGAGGATGAAATGAATATTGAAGATGGCAGCCAAAATGAGAACATTGAAGAACAGAGCAATGAGAATGTGCAAAATGATGACACTGAGACCACTGCAGAAGAACAATCAAGAGGTCTTGCTTTGGATACATGTCTTCAACCTCCAGATCTTGCTCAGCAGCTATTGTCCTATGATGATGGGATATTTTGTATTGCCCCAGCTCAAGGAAACACACCTGTAAGCATTTTTAAAGTACCTAAACTCGAATCCATGGCATTTCCAGTGCAGTTTCCAGACGGAAAGAACACCTTTGATGAGCCTCATAGAGCCAAACATATTTCCCCTAGCAGGTATTTTAATTCTAGACTGTTCTCTATAGACAATCGTTGTGCAAGAGATACTAACTATATCTTCTTTGCACAATTTGTGACCGAAATGCACATGGCCACATCTAGTATGTCTATCCAGCTGAGGAAAGCAAAACCCATGACCCGTGATGGACGAAGAATAAACTGTTCACTGCTGCAGGACAAACGGGAGTTAGAAAAACTTGTATTAAATAAGGAAGCAACACGTTTTATGCAGCCATTAAGAGGGACTCCAGCGTACTGGGAGAAAACTCTTCGTGATTTGTTTGCTATGCTTAGGCAGCTGGGCACTCCAACATTTTTCTGTACATTTAGTGCTGCTGAAATGAGATGGCCTGAAGTGATTACTGCCATTAAAACACAACAGCGTGAAACTGTAAACTTTGCTGATTTAGACTGGTCAGAAAAATGTGAAATCTTGAAAAGCAACCCAGTAACAGCTATGAGAATGTTTGAAAAACGCGTTGAGGCCTTAATGAGAGATTTAATCATGTCACCTGCTCAACCTGTTGGTGAGGTTATTGACTTTTTTTACAGAGTAGAGTTTCAACTTCGTGGCTCTCCGCACATTCATTGTTTATTTTGGGTAAAAGATGCTCCAGAGTTTGAACATGATCAAGATCAGGTGGTTTGTGATTTCATAGATAAATACATTTCATGCAAATTACCAGATGTAATCAAAGACCCAGAATTGCATAGAATTGTAAGTGAGGTGCAGATGCACAGCCGTAACCACTCCAAATCTTGCAGAAAGAACAATAAGCATTGCCGATTTGGATTTCCTAAACCACCAATTAATAGGACTATGATAACTCGTCCCAGACCTCCTCCAGAAAATCAATCAAATGAACAAGGTGAATCAACAGAGGAAAATCATCCTTTTAATGCTAAAAATGCTAAAGCTGAGCTTCAGAAAGTGTGGGATCTACTGAATGACTCAACTAAGAGTTTTGATAACGTAACAGATTTACTTAATCAAGTAAACATGACTTATGAGGATTATGAGAATCACATTGACGCTCTTTCTAAATCAAGTGTAATAGTTATGGAGAGACGACCACAGGACTGCTGGGTTAACGGCTATAATCCACTACTATTAAGAGCCTGGAATGCAAATATGGATATACAATTCATTCTGAACCCCTACAGCTGCATCATGTACATGCTGTCATACATTTCAAAAGCTGAACATGAGATGAGCGATTACTTAAAAACTGTTATAAGAGGGTCGAGCCATGATGACTTGTCTGACCGTGAATGCATGAAAAAGGTCATGAATGCCTATTCAAAGAACAGAGAAGTCAGTGCTCAAGAGGCCGTTGCTCGCACATGCAGCCTGAAGTTGAAATCATCATCACGTGCTGTCATATTCATTCCAACGGATGACAATGCTGTAAAAATGAGTTTACCCATGAAATACTTGCAGAATATGGATGATGATGTAGAGAATGTCTGGATGACTGGACTGCCAGACAAGTACAAGGCCAGACCAAACAGACCTGAATTCGAGAACATGTGCATGGCTGAATTTGCCAGTGAGTACCGCATTGTTTATGCAGGACAAACAAAGCGAAAAAATGTTTTGCCACTTCAAAATAAATTGGGACACATACAGAAAAGGACAAGGGGAAAGCCTGCTGTTATTAGATTTGCTCGATTTTCAGAGAAAAAAGATCCAGAAAAATTCTATGGAACTCTGCTAAAACTCTACTTGCCATATCGTACAGATAGCCAGTTGAAATGTGCACGATTCCCAACATATCAAACCTTTTATGCATTAGCTTCAGTAAAACTACCAGGAAGTGATGAAGTGCAGCGTGTTTACAACATTGTAAGTGAAAATCGTGAAAAATATGAAAAACATAATGAGGATATAGAAAGGGCAATTGAAGATTTTGAAAAGAATGGTCCAATTGAAGATGCATGGACTACATTGGCACCGACAAATGAACTGATACGATTGGAAAGCATTATGGAGCGAGAACCTATTGATCCTAATGAAGTTAATGAACAAGATGACATTCCTGAATACACTGCATCCAGCGCTGTCAGTAACACAGCTATGCTGCTTATGGAGGCTGCCAAACTAAATACTGCACAGATTCGCAAAATGTATCAGAGCTTGAACCAAACACAAGCTTCCATATTTTATGCTGTGCGGGACTGGTGCAAAAGATGCGTTTCCGGTGAAAAACCACAACAGTTTCTCTACTTTCTTAATGGAGGAGCCGGTGTGGGCAAATCACATGTTGTTAAATCTATTTATGCAGAAGCATCCAAAATACTGCGTAGGCTTCCATGTATGCAAGAGAATACTGACATTTCCAAAACTACTGTTCTTTTAACTGCATTCACAGGTACTGCAGCCTTTAACATCTCTGGTAAAACACTGCACTGTCTTCTAAAGCTGCCAAGAAGCTTAAAGCCTCCATATCAAGGTCTGGGAAACATTTTAGATGAAATCAGAGCAGATCTTTCTAATGCACACATTTTAATTATTGATGAAATATCGATGGTGTCAAAGCAGTTATTTGCCTATGTAAACTGGAGACTTCAACAAATTAAGGGAAATCAGAAACCTTTTGGTGGTCTGTCTGTACTCTGTGTTGGTGATTTTTACCAGCTTCCACCACTGGGAAGAGCAAAACCACTTTGTGTTTATGAGGAGCATGTGTTGGACTTCTGGAAAGATCATTTTCAAATGATAACGCTGACACAGATAATGAGACAGAGAGAGGATCTTTCATATGCTGAACTTCTTAACCGTCTTAGAATAAAACAGAAACACGAGAAGCTAACTGATGCAGACAAATGTATGTTAGAAGCTGTCATAAGATCTGCCCCTGAAGAGTGTCCCTCTGATGCTCTGCACATCTATGCAACTAATAAAGAGGTAGATAGTCACAACACAGCAGTCATATCGTCACGTTTTTCTGAAATTATCACAGTTTATGCGAATGATTACAAAAAAGATCCACGAACGGGTGAAATGAAGCGCCAAGGTGTACCACTAAAAGGTGACAAACGTGATCTTGTTGATACACTACAGATTGCTATCGGTGTACGAGTAATGCTTATTAGAAATATTGATGTAGAAGATGGTCTGGTGAATGGTACTTTTGGAAAGGTAGCAAAAATAACAACTCTGAACCGAGATGATGTTCCGTTTGTGCACTTAATTGGTTTGCATTTGGATGATGTGAATGCTGGACAAAAACATCGTAACAAAGCACCTGGAGATGACAATATTGTCTATATTGAGAGATTAGAAGAACCACTAAAAAGAAAAGGAACAATTCGTAGACAATTTCCCATGAAACTTGCTTTTGCTTGCACCATACATAAAGTGCAAGGAATGACAACTGATTGTGCCGTTGTATCTCTGAAACATGTATTTGAACCTGGCATGGCGTACGTTGCACTCAGCAGAACAACAACACTCAGCGGATTGCACATTATCGATTTTAATGAAAATAAAATTTTCTGTGATCCAGAAATACGCACCTCCTTGGAGAGCATGCCAAAAGCTGATTTTCACAATTTTCAGCCCATCTTAGATTTATTGCAGGATTCAAACCTAAATTCAGCACTTAAAATCATTCACCATAACACAGAAGGTCTTCAGTGTCACATGGATGATTTAAAATGCCACCATGAACTTTTATTGGCAGACATATTGTGTCTCAGTGAAACGCATCTATCTGGCTCCTGTGTTCCTGAATATCTCCAGCTGGATGGATACACCATGTACAAGCGCAACAGGCATTCATCCTACACAAACTATGCACATTTAGCGAACAAGAGTGGTGGTGGTGTAGCCATATATGTGAAGAACATCTTTCAAGCTCGTCCTATGATGTATATCCAGAATGTTACAGATTTGGAATATCTGGTTTTGAAGATAGAAACCCCCAAACAAGCACTTCTTGCAGTGATCTACAGACCACCCAGTTACCAACTATCAGAGTTTTTGCTCAATCTCAATGGCCTTTTGACTTCTCTGGAGATTCTGAACATCAAGCCTGTTATAGTGTGTGGAGACTTCAATGAAGATCAGCTGTCCCGTTGCAACAAACCCATTCTCAATTTGTTTCATGATAAAGGATACACACAACTCATCAGCACCGGAACAACAGAAAACAACACTCTTCTTGATCCTGTTTTCATAAGCAGCGCACACTCAAATGTAAGAGCAGGAGTTCTACAGACATATTACAGCTATCATGATCCTGTGTATTGTGTTTTAGAATAGATACATCAAATATAGAAAAACTGCATACGTCTTATTAAGCTTTTTTGTAATATAGTTAGATAACTTATTGAAATAATAATCATAATAAATGCAAATTATACTAAGCTGTTCACATTGTCTTCTTGTGTGCATGTGTGTGTGAATGTGTTATTATAGACTGTCTGTCTGTGTGTGTCTGTGTTTGAATGTATTAGATAAAGAATGAATGGTGAGTGAATGTCCTTTCCAAGGATCGCCACCTTGACGTGGTGGAAAGGCTTGTGTGTACCAGTGATCCCAAAAGTAAGCCATTTTGGAGCATTTTACACTCAATGGCTGTGCTTAGGGGGAGGTTCCAGACTAAGGCGATCCAAAACATTAATTTAATAAAATATTATGCTGTGTGGAATTACTTGACTGTCTTTATTGATTTATGCAAAACTGTTAATTCAGTGACAAAAACTTTCAAATATACAGATACTAAATTAGCCTATTGTTAGCATGATTCTATCACAAATTAGCATGATGTTAACATTATTTCACTGCATATGTTGTTAATATGATAAAAGTATGGGTTAGAAGATTATTGGCAGGATTTTAGTACAAATTAACGTGTTAAAAGGATTCTAGCATGTTAGCATGTTTATAGTTTGAATTAACATGTTGTTAGCATGTTTTGAGTATAAATCTACTACAAATTAGCATGTTATTAGCATAATTTTAGTATGAATTAGCATGATAGCATGATTTTACTATCAATTACCATGTTACTAGAATGATTCTAGCATGAATTAGCATGTTATTAGAATGGTTCTTGCTTAAATTGGCATGTTACTAGCATGGTTCTAGCATGTTACTAGCATGATTATAGCATGAATTAGCATGTTGTTAGCATGAATTAGGATGTTACTAGCATGATTCTAGCATGAATTAGCAAGTTATTAGCACGATTCTAGCATGAATTAGCATGTTACTAGCATGATTCTAGCATGAATTAGCATGTTATTAGCATGATTCTAGCATGAATTAGCATGTTATTAGCATGATTCCAGCATGAACTAGCATGTTACTAGCATGATTGTAGCGTGAATTAGCATGTAAGTAGCATGATTTTAGCATGAATTAGCATGATTCTAGCATGAATTACCATGTTGTTAGCATGATTTTAACATGAATTAGCATGTTGTTAGCACGATTCTAGCATGAATTAGCATGTTACTAGCATGATTCTAGCATGAATTAGCATGTTACTAGCATGATTTTAGCACGAATTAGCACAATTCTAGCATGAATTAGCATGTTGTTAGCATGATTCTAGCATGAATTAGCATGTTGTTAGCATGATTCTAGCATGATTTAGCATGTTACTAGCAAGATTCTAGCATGAATTAGCATGCTACTAGCATGATTCTAGCATAAATTAGCATGTTGTTAGCATGCTTCTAGCATGAATTAGCATGCTACTAGCATGATTCTAGCATAAATTAGCATGTTGTTAGCATACTTCTAGCATGAATTAGCATGTTACTAGCATGATTCTAGCATGAATTAGCATGTTGTTACCATGATTCTAACATGAATTAGCATGTTACTAGCATGATTCTAGCATGAATTAGCATGTTGTTAGCATGAATATAGCATGAATTAGCATGTTACTAGCATGATTCTAGCATGAATTAGCATGTTGTTAGAATGATTCTAGCATGAATTAGCATGTTACTAGCATGATTCTAGCATGAATTAGCATGCTGTTAGCATGATTCTAGCATGAATTAGCATGTTACTAGCATGATTCTAGCATGAATTAGCATGTTGTTAGCATGATTCTAGCATGAATTAGCATGTTGTTAGCATGATTCTAGCATGGATTAGCATGTTACTAGCATGATTCTAGCATAAATTAGCATGATTCTAGCATGAATAAGCATGTTCTTAGCATGATTCTAGCATGAATTAGCATGTTGTTAGCATGAATTAGGATGTTGTTAGCATGATTTTAGCATGAATTAGCATGTTGTTAGCATGATTCTAGCATGAATTAGCATGTTACTAGCATGATTCTAGCATGAATTAGCATGCTACTAGCATGATTCTAGCATAAATTAGCATGTTGTTAGCATGTTTCTAGCATGAATTAGCATGTTACTAGCATGATTCCAGCATGAATTAGCATGTTGTTAGCATGATTCTAACATGAATTAGCATGTTACTAGCATGATTCTAGCATGAATTAGCATGTTGTTAGCATGATTCTAGCATGAATTAGCATTTCACTAGCATGATTCTAGCATAAATTAGCATGTTGTTAGCATGATTCTAGCATGAATTAGCATGTTGTTAGCATGATTCTAGCATGAATTAGCATGTTGTTAGCATGATTCTAGCATGAATTAGCATGTTACTAGCATGATTCTAGCATGAATTAGCATGTTGTTAGCATGATTATAGCATGAATTAGCATGTTACTAGCATGATTCTAGCATGAATTAGCATGTTGTTAGCATGGATTAGCATGTTACTAGCATGATTTTAGCATAAATTAGCATGATTCTAGCATGAATTAGCATGTTCTTAGCATGATTCTAGCATGAATTAGCATGTTCTTAGCATGATTCTAGCATGAATTAGCATGTGACTAGCATGATTCTAGCATGAATTAGCATGTAACTAGCATGATTCTAGCATGAATTAGCATGTTGTTAGCATGATGGATAGATAGATAGATAGATAGATAGATAGATAGATAGATAGATAGATAGATAGATAGATAGAGACAGACAGACAGACAGACAGACAGATAGATAGATAGATAGATAGATAGATAGATAGATAGATAGATAGGTAGAGGTAGATAGATAGATAGATAGATAGATAGATAGATAGATAGATAGATAGATAGATAGATAGAGACAGACAGACAGACAGACAGACAGACAGATAGATAGATAGATAGATAGATAGATAGATAGATAGATAGATAGATAGATAGATAGATAGATAGATGGTGTAAGAGCATGAGTCAAACAAGCCAACCCCCGCCTCTCTACGATGTTCTGATGCTGAGATATAGCTGCTGTTATATCGTTGCTAGGTTAGTCTGTTTTGTTGCTATGGAGTTGATTGACAGCTTAGACTGATGATGTATCAAAGCTTCTTGCCAGTATGAACAGTTAAAAACAACCCCCATGTCTCTATCACACTGCAGCATGACAATATCAATCTGAACCTCTTTAATGGCAGTCTATGGGACAGTTGCTAGGGTGCAGTATCTGGTTGTTAGGGTGTGGCTAGAAAGTTAAAAGGCCATCGGTGATTGGCTGCTGGCTAGACTGAGTTAAATAAGCTCAGCCATTAGTCTGTAGGACAGTCTGATGCAGAGTTATGAGCTCACAAAGTTTGATCCCATGTAAAGTCAATGAGAGTCTTTTGCAATGGAAGTCTATGGGACAGTTTCTAGGGTCCAAAAGTGGTTGCTAGGGCGTGGCCAGAAAGTTTAAAGGTGATCAGTCATTGGCAGTTTGATAGTCTGAGTTAAATGAGCCCAGTTAGAAGTCTGTGTGACATTCTGATGCGGAGTTATGAGGTCACAAAGTTTGATCCAATGTTACGTCTATGGGATTTTTCCGACGGTCCCGGGACGTTTTTCGGGAAACCGAAAGTCGGATCAGTCGGATAGGATATAGCAACTCGAGTCAGAATAGTTCGGAGGTCTGACCCGAGTTTGATGGGCATAGCTTGAAAGGTCTAGGTGGAGATAGAGTTTAATTTTTAGTCTCAGAAGAAGAATAATAATATAAATAATAATAATAATAATAATAAGTTTAATAGGATAACAGTAGTCTGGCTTGCTACACAAGCCAGCCTAACTAGATTCTTAAAGTTTGAGAACAAACTTTGAGGCTGGCTTGTGAAAGCCTGACGGTAATAGTTTATTTGGTTTAAACAGTTTAAAAAAGTATGAATAGATAGATAGATAGATAGATAGATAGATAGATAGATAGATAGATAGATAGATAGATAGATAGATAGATAGATAGATAGATAGATAGATAGATAGATAGATAGATAGATAGCATGATTCTAGCATGAATTAGCATGTTACTAGCATGATTTTAGCATGAATTAGCATGTTGTTAGCATGATTCTAGCATGAATTAGCATGTTACTAGCATGATTCTAGCATGAATTAGCATGTACCTAGCATGATTTTAACATGAATTAGCATGTTACTAGCATGATTTTAGCAAAAATTAGCATGATTCTAGCATGATTTAGCATGTTACTAGCAAGATTCTAGCATGAATTAGCATGCTACTAGCATGATTTTAGCATAAATTAGCATGTTGTTAGCATGATTCTAGCATAAATTAGCATGTTGTTAGCATGCTTCTAGCATGAATTAGCATGTTACTAGCATGACTCTAGCATGAATTAGCATGTTGTTAGCATGATTCTAACATGAATTAGCATGTTACTAGCATGATTCTAGCATGAATTAGCATGTTGTTAGCATGATTCTAGCATGAATTAGCATGTTGTTAGCATGATTCTAGCATGAATTAGCATGTTGTTAGCATGATTCTAGCATACATTAGCATGTTGTTAGCATGATTCTAGCATGAATTAGCATGTTACTAGCATGAATCTAGCATGAATTAGCATGTTGTTAGCATGATTCTAGCATGAATTAGCATGTTACTAGCATGATTCTAGCATGAATTAGCATGTTGTTAGCATGATTCTAGCATGAAACTAGCATGATTCTAGCATTAATTAGCATGTTGTTAGCATGATTCTAGCATGAATTATCATGATACTAGCATGATTCTAGCATGAATTAGCATGTCACTAGCATGATTTTAGCATAAATTAGCATGATTCTAGCATGAATTAGCATGTTGTTAGCATGATTCTAGCATGAATTAGCATGTGACTAGCATGATTCTAGCATGAATTAGCATGTTGTTAGCATGATGGATAGATAGATAGATAGATAGATAGGTAGAGGTAGATAGATAGATAGATAGATAGATAGATAGATAGATAGATAGATAGATAGATAGATAATTAAATAGATAGATGGTGTGCTAGCATGGGTCAAACAAGCCAACCCCCGCTTCTCTACGATGTTCTGATGCTGAGATATAGCTGCTGTTATATCGTTGCTAGGTTAGTCTGTTTTGTTGCTATGGAGTTGATTGACAGCTTAGACTGATGATGTATCAAAGCTTCTTGCCAGTATGAACAGTTAAAAACAACCCCCATGTCTCTATCACACTGCAGCATGACAATATCAGTCTGAACCTCTTTAATGGCAGTCTATGGGACAGTTGCTAGGGTGCAGTATGTGGTAGTTAAGGGTGTGGCTAGAAAGTTAAAAGGCCATCAGTAATTGGCTGCTGGCTAGACTGAGTTAA